GCGATTTTGAATGCTAGAAATTTCTTAGTTTTTGAGATTCATACAAACAATTTCGTGCTGAAAATTTGAATTTCAAGATAAAGTAACCTGAACGACTCGAAACATGTTTCCTATAGGTTTTCGACAATGCTCTTTCCAGTGGCATCGTTTTTAAATATTAAAAAAGTTTTCTGAAGGGTTTTCCAGAGACCGGATCTCTGAAAAACTCCTTAGAAAACTTTTTCAAAACCCAGCTCTCATGCCATTAGTGAAAAACCTATAAAAAAATGGTTCATGAAATTTTAGTTCACTCATAAAGCTAAAGTCCGCCTGCTCTAGCAAAAAAGCCCACTGTGGAGTGTCACTCATCCAGTTCATTTTCAAACATATTAAACATATAAGAAAGGCATCAAAAGAAAATTTATTTAGTTTCAAAATAGAATTGTTCAGAGAAACTAAAAATGCTTTTTCTAATCATATTGAATATTGCTGGATTGATACTGTGTAAGAATTATCGGGCGACTGTCAAATTGACTGCAGCTGGGCTGAAATTTCAACCATCCAATCCAATCGAACAGCTGGGCTCGATTTCTGATATCAAATCAGTTCTGAATCTGATCAGATAATTCAACGATATATGCATGAAATCAATTTGGCAAATATCGATCCGCATATTAAAGAATATTCTTGCAGCACGTTACTTCCAGCGATTAGATTAAATATTCAAAGTTTAATATTAGATGATATTGAAACATTTCGGCAAATACTTTCGTTCAATCTGAAGACCATTACTCAATTATTTCCTTATTTGAGATATTTTCAAATTGTGAAATGTTTTGATGCAAATCGATTATCTAAGTGTTCTATTCAATCTCTTCGCTTATTATTCAGTTTGAAGCTTGAAATAGCTAATTTAAAATCCGGCGAAATATTTCGAGATATATTGTTTTGTGACGAATCAATGATCGAAATTTTAAATATAAAATGTAATGGATCAATCGCTCAACCACAAAATCAACAACAAAATTCTTCGCGGACGCTTCGAAAACTAACACTCACGTTGGAAAACTATAACGATTTTCTTTACTTACTAAATTACATGCCAGCGCTTGAATATTTAGACGTTAGAGTTGACAACATTAACAATGGAGAAGATTTGAATTTAATTACATCGAATAAATTTCATCATTTGACTGAATTCCATTTTATTTTGACGAAAATGACCATGTACTTTGATCAAATTAATTCTCTATTGAGTTTATTCTATAAATTAGAGCGATTATCATTAAATATGATGTGTTTTGAGTGTCAACAGTATATCGATGGTTATTATCTTAGTGGTAAGTCTGTTAAGCACACTAGACCAAAAACTAACTCCTGCAAAAAAACTTTATACACGTGTGATTTTGGTACTTGTTAAAATATGCCCGCGAGGAAATTGTTGGAGACTTAAACAGCTTTAAAAGACACGAAAGATCCAGCTTTTCAAGTCAGATATTCTAAGTGTCAAATAAAGTCACAAATAGGATGTTTTGTCCTCAGGTTAAGTCTCGCCCAGGTAACTTTTAGTGGTAGCTTACAGCAACTTTTCTGTGTTAAATAAGACTTTTTAGTCGTTTCGTCGGAAAATGAGTTGAAACATTTGCTACTAATGATACCTTGGAAAAAGTCAACTCGATTCGAAAGTTCGAAAGTTGACCATAAGGAGATTCATAAAGTTGACTAGTGAGGGATCTGGAGAAAATGTACGAGCCAACTTGAAAGTAGTTAGATTAAATTAAAATGGCAGTCTCAGTTAACTTGCCGAGTTCTTTAGAGAATTTAGAGCTCGTGAAGATCTCATAGCTCCTTCCTCAATGTATATGTAAGAGCGTGAGTACAAGAATTTTTTTCAAGCGCTAAGTCACGACGAATATTATCACCTAGGAGAGGTTGTGATATTGTTTAAACCTAGAATACACGATTTGAGAATCTTAGAGGCAACAGAGCTCTGAGTCTCTCGCTGTCGCTTTTATACACCGATTTATGTGTCCTTATCCAATCAGTGTGTAGGATTCTAATGGTGTTGATGGTATGGCTTAGAAATCACCTTCAGATTTGTGTTTTGCTATAATTCCTTTTCAAATAGTAAGAGAAAATAGACCATTGTCTGTTGAAGTATTTGATACCAAGTACTTGAATACTTGGGAATTTCGGCAAATACTCCGCCGAATTAGGGTGGACAACACATCTGTCACCGTTGAGCTCTTGAACAACTGCGGTTTTTCCTCTTCTGTCTTCAAGTTTCGTAGTTCACGCTTCCTTACGAGACATAAAACAATATTGCCTACTTTGGTTATCAATATTAAATAATGGGAATGAACCATCTCTTAATATAAATTCTGGTATACCCTGTGTTAAATAAACAGCTACAATTGTCATAACAAATGAATATAAAGCTGATCTCAATTGTTTCGGATTTGTAAAATATTTTAACGTTTGACGAAATGCCCAACATGATGTAACACCATGTAGCATAAAAAAGTTATCTGGTTCTGGGATTGTACCTTCATATGCTAAGAGAACAGCTACTGATAATGCGTGTGCTAATTCCATCAATTGTTCATCTTTTACTTTATCAATTGTTTTTATTTGTCTAGCATATTGTTGAAGTTTTAAACTGTATTCTTGAGTATCGCGTATTATAAATAGACGTTTTGCAACTGTACCAGGCAATTGACAATAGGGTTCTTCGAGACATTTTTGTTCCATTCCTTGTTGCATTGTTAATGCATCTTTATTAACATATTTTAATAACTGAACAAATTCATTACAACCATCATAAGGATGAACAATAACGTCAGTTACGCCACTTTCATCATGCGCTTCCAGATGCCCAAGGTATACATACGAATAGACCATATAAGCTAATGCCTCCGTTAATGATTGTTCATAAGGAGAGTGAACAGCGTAACCTAAATTGATGATTCCATGCGTGGCATCACCTGACATAACATCAACCAATTTTGGTAAATATTCTTCCAATAAACGTTCTTTTGAACCTAAAATTACCGATATAGAGAAACATAGTGCAAAGATTATTCCGTTATCTTGAGCAGAGACCGTAACATATTTAGTCAAATGAAAATTTTTGACTTCGAAATTCAAACAATAAATCTTATAAAAATTATTTATTTTCATAGAAAATTTTTCTTTACGCTTCACAGTAGTTGTATTTTTCTAGTAGAATTTCAATTGAAAAATATCTCAAAAATAAAACGGGTTTTGAATTATTTTGGATGGAGCAGAAAACGTTTTTAGGACAGTTCAGATCAAAAAATGGTTTTAGACCTTCGGATTCGGATCAGAATCATTTGAAGTGATTTTATACCTACTATCAACACCACATTATGACAGTCAGAAAATGTAATGTACAACAAAAGCCAGCAGCAGAAAAGTCGTTTCTCGATAATAACTACCAAAGCTTTTAACTCTTAGACTTCTATATTTCAAATGTGGATAGAGACAAACAGTGCACCACGAAAGTAAGGGCACTCTTCGATCTGAAGAATCCTGATAACTACTATCGGCTTTAAAATACAAGGCAGTCAGTTAGTTTTCGAATAGCGTTTGGTGAGAATGAGATCTGCGGTTTTCGGTATTCGATAGTCAACACTTGTACGCATCTTTACACAAGCAAGAAACATTTTTGAAAAATTTCAAAAATGGGATTTTCAGAGGATCTTTGGAAAACCAGGTCGTAGCTACAAGAAGTAGTATAGAATTATGCTAATTTTTTTTCGACGAGTTTATAGTCTAAATTGTCCTCCACAAAACTGGGTCTAAGGAACAGCCTGAAAATCCATGGTTCGGGAGCTATGGATGTTTTCTCTGAAGCCTTAGCACTCCTCTGCCGTTAGGTTTGGGACTAACGGAAATGAATGGAAACATAGGTTATCGATTATGCTAAATCTCGTGGCAATGTTAGTTTCCACAACAAATGCAAAAACCAAGTGAAAGCTATACTAGGTGAAATAACCCATTTTTGATTACTTTCATCAACAAGTCGTAAGCCAGTCAAAATCCATCCAACCTACTTCAGAATATCAAGATATACTGTATTTTATCCGCTCATTCTGATTCTATACGTAAAATCAATAAAACATATTCTCTTAGTTCCGAAGGTTTCTGCGAAACCTTTCTATAAACCAAAGTACTTTCTGTTAGCTTTTCAACATTTTTTGAGCTTTACGATACGTTGCAGATAAAATAGACTATATCTTGACATCTGGAGTAAGTTGGATGGGTTTTGACTGACTTACGACTTGTTGATGAAAGTAATCAAAAATGGATTATTCCACCTAGTATAGCTAGTGAAAGCTATAGCTATCACTTGGTTTTGTATTTTGTTGTGAAAACTACCGACTATCTTGTATTTTGAAGCCAGTAGTAGTAACTTCAAATGAGGGCTAGGAGAACTTCTAAAGCTTTGTATTTATCGCTTAGCCTATATTCTAATAGAGTTGAAAGAGTACACAAGCATGCATCGATTTCATGCTACTGCATAGTAGACCACCAAATTACTAGAATAGTAGGCGGAAACCCAAATACCAAATAACTTAGCAGTATCGCTATAAATCGGTTAGATTTTTCAGTGCTTTTAAGTAAAAGTTGATGCTGAACCAGCTTCAAAGGAGAGATTTCGGAACAGATAAACCGATGAGACTGCAGGAAGTAAACAAGAAACGATACTGATACTTATACACTTTTACCGTGCTTTGCAATACCCAATTTTTCTTGCGAAAATTGGTCATACAGTTGTGTATAAAATCAAACGGCTTCATACTTGCTAATGAAACCTTCTCTAGTTTTTCATCTGACTAATGAGCTATTTTTAGTTTTGACAAGAAAACTGTTTTTGTTTTGAAAAATAGTTTTTTCATGAAAGTCAAACAATACGACGCTCACTCTCATTTGTACCGCTGCCCTTGAGGTACGGCACGCACAAATGTTCCTGTGTATCCTCTAAGCAAGAGATATAGACTATTCTATGTTGCTAGAAGCGATCGCTGGATCCGCGAGAGATGAAAACTCTTTCTTTTTACCCAAATGCACCCCCGACTCTTCTCTATGCACGAGATGATGGTGAAGTGTCGGTTCTTAATATAGTAATACATACCTAGTCGTTTTAATTCATCATCAAAATAATCTCCTAATTCAGCATAAGAGTGTAGTTTTCCGAGATATTCGTGCCAATTATCTTGTGTAATGATTTTTGATTTTGGCTTTGGTGGATCTAGCTGTTTTATATAAAATTGTCTAAATTCTTCTAAACGTTCATTTGTTGCACCTAATTTATGTAAGGCAACAAGAGCATGTGATAAATGATTTGAAAAGTATACATTATAATGAATATCATAATGAGAACGATCACTTATTTCTAACAGATGTTTTAATGTAGAACTATCAGGATTGGCAATTGATTTTGTTTGAGAAGATGTCATTATCTGAAACATGGAGTTAACGTTAGTTGAGAATAGGATTGAATAATTGAAGCTATAGGTTCCTCGACGAATTAGTAAAAACACTCTCATTTACTGAAACTGAGATGTATTCAAACGTTAGAGTCATGTTCGAACAGTAGACGACACAAAGCTTCGCTATCGCTGGGATGTTCAGTTAGAATCAGAAAACTAGGAAGTCGAAGCCGAAGTTCTGAATCACGCTTTTTTGCACCGTCTAACATTTTTTCATTGTATATTCTGTCTTGCGTTGAGGATTTTTTCTTAAAAAATCCTATCCCTCACGAAAAAGATACTGTTCTAGAATTTTTATACTTTTCTGAGAATGACGGACGATATTTGAGCCTTACGAGAGAAGGTTCTAACTGATAAATCACTCTTGAGTCGAAATCTAGTGGATTGTAGATTATCGACCATGCTGATTCCGAATATAATCATGAGAGTTCTCCATAGCCCTTCGAAGATCCGATCTTCTGGAAAATCAGTTTTCCAGAAACTCTCCCAGCTCTACACGACCTTTCTTTGGAAAGTTATCTAATTTATAAGAAGAGCCCTAAATTAATTTTTTCCTTCTTATTTCTGTAGCTTTCAGCTGACAAAGAACATTTAGGGCTCTCCCTATAAAATCGATAACTTTCCAAAGAAAGGCCGTGTAGAGCTGGGGGATGTTTAATTTCAATCAAAAATTTGCGTGCTACAATCCTTCATTATTATGAAAGGTTTGGGTTATTTTCTAGAGTTTCTGGAAAACTGGTTTTCCGGAAGATCGGATCTGGGCTATAGGGAACTCTCATGGTCATATTCGGAATCAGCACGGTCGATAATCTACAATCCACCAGATTTCGACTCAAAAGTGATTTATCAGTTAGAGACTTTTCCTAGTTATATTTCTCTGACGGTTGAGTACGAATCTTTACATTATCTACACGGTTGGAAAAAATATTATTCCAAGAGGGTAACACCATCATTTTAAATAGAGTAGATGATGAATTTTATACCAAATGAGAGCCTGTGAAAAACGGGATTTATTGATACTAAACAGTAAGGGTTATGAAGACCTTAGTGTATTAAACTCTCGAAGTTTATATAATTCTGTAAAATAGAAAAGTTATAATCTGCTTTTACTGGGTTGAAAGACCAAAAAAAAAAGAAAGTTTCTTAGAAAAAGTTAAAGAGGCTATGTTGTAGTGGTCATACAGCGCAGCTTCGACTGAAAGGATATTATTATCTGTTCGCGTT